CCCCCTGGACGCTCAAAGTATCTAGGGGCCTTCGGCCCATCCTGCCTCTTGGGAGCAGTTTCGAAGCCTCTCGGGGCTGGTTTTGTCGGCCTCTTGAGGCGGCGTCAACGCCGTGAAAGCCGAAACATCGTAACTGCTGAAAATGCACGCTTTCCTAGGGAGCATCAATGATATTGGGCTCTTGGGGCCCTGTGGGTGAGCCTCTTGGGGGCCCTTTTGGGCGTCTTGGCGGCCTGTAGGGTTCTCTGGGGGGCATCTTGGGCGTCGTGGGGCGATCTGTCGACGAGTGGCTGCCGTCGTGGACCACGCTGGGCACGTCTGGGGGGGATCTTGGCGCGTCTCCGAGCCGCCCGGGCCTCCTCCCGAGCGTATTCCGGTGTATGTACGTATGTATGTATGTATGTATGTATGTATGTATGTATGTATGTATGTATGTATGTATGTATGTATGTATGTATGTATGTATATATGTATGTATATCTGTATGTATGTATGTATGTGTGTATGTATGTATGTATGTATGTATGTATGCATGCATGCATGTATGTATGTATGGATGTATGGATGTATGGATGTATGGATGTATGGATGTATGGAGGTATGGATGTACGGATGTATGGATGCATGTATGTATGTATGTATGTAAGTAAGTAAGTAAGTATGTATGCGTGTATGTATGTATGTATGTATGTATGTAGGTAGGTAGGTAGGTAGGTAGGTAGATAGGTAGGTAGGTAGGTAGGTAGGTAGGTAGGTAGGTAGGTAGGTACGTGTGTATGTACGTAGTGTATATATAGGCATCTGTCGTCCCCCTTCTGTGGGGCACCAGGCTGCATGATTAAGTTGCTGCCACCCTGCGCCAGTTGCAGTTTCAAGTCTCCGACCTTACAATCCTGATCTCTGCTTCAAATTGAAAATTGCTGCAGTCCGCGCGAGGGGGGGGGGCCACACCGGCAATTCAACACGACCAAATCGTGCTGCCTGAATTCCCGGAGGGCGTGGGGTACGCGAAAATATTCTAGATTCGCGCCCCGGAAGCCACAGTCTTTACCATATTACGCAATGTTCGCCCCCCCGGAGCTGCAAACCATCGTGGACCTTCGAGCGTGAAATGCCGCTGTGTTTTGAATACGTTTTTGGAAGTTAACGGCAGGGGTGGAACGGAGTCGTCGTCGTCGTCGTCAGCGTCGTCGTCGTTGTTTTCGGCGTCGTCGTCGTCGTCGTCCGTTGTCTCCCCTTTCCTTCTCCCTCCGCCCCCCCCCCGACCTCACTCCCCCCGTTGTCCCCCCTGCCGCTCCCCCTCTCCCCCCCCTTCCTCCGCTTCCTTTTCATGTGTTCTCCTGTTCGGAATGGTGCTCTCGCCTGAGAAACCGCCGCGCCGCGCTCCGCGGCCCCCGCGGGCGACCTTATCCTGAGGTCGGCAATTTCGGACCTCGGCCGAGGATGGTCCAGCTGGGCCTGCTTCCCGCCAATCCCCGTGGGGGTAGCGGATGGCCCAGCAGGTGCACGTCGTCGTCGTCTGTCGTCGTTGTTTGTCGTCCTTGTCGTCGGACGACGTCGTCGTCGTCGTGGGCGTGGTCTCGGTCGTCGCCGTGGTTGTCGTCGTCGTCAACCAGGTGGTGGTCGTGGTCTTGGTCGTCGCCGTCGCCGTCGTCGTCATTTGCGTCGTGGTCGTCGTGATCGGTTGACTTCGCCGTCGTCGAAATGTCGTCGTCGTCGGTCGACGTCGTCGTCGGCGTCGTGGACGTCGTCGTCGTTGTCGTCGTCGTCGCGGTCAGCGTCGTTGTCCCATATCTTCCCTCCTCCCCCCTGTTGCTGCTGGTTATTTAATGTAGTAGTATGATGTTCTCTTCCCCTTACAATTACTCAATATGGGTGCTGCTGCTTTAAAACAATATCGCAAATTACCGTTTCAAGTATTTATCTGGTTAACTTGTCTCATAGATGTAGGCAAAGTATGTCTAACGTTACCAGGTGCGATTAGACTTGAATATCGTTATTTCTTACATCGGTTTAACTAGATACCCTCTCATCTGTCAAACACTTACGATTTAACACGTGCTAAAGAAATAGTTTACCGGGTCTAAAGGGCAAGAGGGAGGTGAGAGGGGAGAGCCGAGAGGAGAGCGGGGGGAGAGGAGAAGGAGAAGGAGAAGGGAAACGGCGACCACACTGATCTATTCAAAGCAGAAACCCAACCAAGGGAGGGTTGGGGACATGATCGACCCACGAGCCCGGAAAGGAATGTAGAAATATGAAGCATGGAAACGTGCCAAAACACCTCAATTGGGCAATGGGCAGTGGAGGTGCTGAAGATATCGATGGTGACGATCCTGTGCCAGGGGCTGTGTTGTGCTGCGCTGTGCCGCGCCGCACAGGGGACGCGCTAAGGGACGCGCTAGGGGGCGTGCCGCGGGACATGCCACGGGGACGCGCCGTAGAACGTCCGAACAGACGCGACAGGAGACGTGGCAGGGGACGTGCCAAGGGACGCAACGCGGGGCGTGCCAGGGGGACGCGCCACGGAGCGTTCCAGGGAACGTGCCAGGGGACGTGCCAGCCGCGCGACGTGCCAGGGGGACGCGCCACGGAACGTGACAGGGAACGTGCCAGGCGACGCGCCAGCGGACGTGCCACCTCCCGCGCCGGGGAGGCCCCCGGAGGCCCGGCACCGCGCGGAAACTCCCGCCCGGGAAGGGGGGCCGGGCACCACACGAAAACGCCTGCCCGGGGACGCCTCCAGAAGCCCCCCTCCGCGCAAAAGTTTCCGCCCCGGGGGAGCACACGGAGGCCCGACACCACGCGAAAACTCCCGCCCACGAGGGGGCCTCCCCGTAGGCACAACACCGTGCGAAAATTTCCCGGAGGCCTTCGCGCGAAAACTCCCGCCCGGGACGGGAAGCCCCTGGAGGCCCCACGCCACGCGAAAACTTCTGCCTGGGGAAGCACCCTGAGGCCCTACACCACGCGAAATCTCCCACCCCAGGGAGGCCCCCTGAGGCCCGAAACTGCTCGAAAATTGTTCTCCAGAGCAGAAACCAATACTTTTCTAGATTGGGACATGTGCTCGGGGGCGCTCTTCGGCCCCCCCGCCATTTCCTGAAAATCAGGCGCTGGACCCGAAGCCGCGAATCCTCGTAGATTACACTGCGTCCGCGCGCCCAGGGCCGCGATCCCCAGTAATCCCACCAGCCCTCTGGGCGTAGGTGGTCTAGAGCAGATCCTCTTCCACCCCTCCCTCTTCCCCCTTGGGGAGGGGTTTACCCCTCCCCCTACCCCCTCCCCTGGACCTGGACGGGGGGGGCCGCGGGTAGTTAGAGCGTCCAAGATGGCCCAAGACGGCTCCAAGAGCGCCTCAGAGAACCCAAGATGAGCTCCAAGATGGCTCAAGATAGCGCAAGATCGCTCACGATGGCTCCTAAGATGGTTCCAAGAAGCCCAAAGACGGCCCCAAGATAACTCCAAGTGGCCAAACAGCTCCCCAAGGAGGCCCCGAAGAGGCCAAAATCGTCCCAAAACCTAAGGAAAATCAATGATTTTTGCTTTCTCGCCTTTTCGCTTCCGATGGCCATCCGAGGCCTGGAGATGGCTCCAAGATGGCCCAAGAGGGCCCCAAGAGAGCCCCAAAAGAGCCCCAAGACGGCCCCAAGAGCGCCCAAGAGCACTCCAAGAGCGTTCCAAGAGGGGTCCAAGAGGCGATTTTAGGGGCTTCCGAGGGGGGACGCTAATTAAACCCCCCCTCTTGTTTGATCGACTCCCTCCAAGATGGCCCCAAAAGCGCCCCGAAGGCTCCCCAGAGCGCCTCAAGAGGGTCCCAAGAGGCGCCCAAGATGCCCCAAGGCGCCCAAAAAGCCCTCCAAGAGGCCCTCAAAAGACCCCCAAGAAGCTCCTTCCCCTCCTCCTCCTCCTCCTCCGATTCTTCCTCCTTCTCCGTCCTCCTCCTCCTCCTCCTCCTCCTCCTCTTCCCCCTCCTCCTCCTCCTCCTCCTCCGACGACGACGACGACGACGACGACTCCTCTTCCATCCTCCCCCTCTCGGGGTCTGTGACAGCTTCCCCCGCCCTTTGTTATTCTGCATGCTCCCCGACTTCCCTGATCACCTCAACTCCCCTGAGCATCGTTTCTGGATGGGCTGGTGGGGATACGCGAAGCGTCAACAATTCACGCTGGACTCGCGCTCTCAAGGCCAGAATCCCTTGTAAATTGTACAAGGGTTCGCGCTCACAAAGCCGCGAGCATGCACGGGATGCACGTTCCGAGGGCCACGATCCCTCGCAATTTACGCTGAGCGCACGTTCCCACGGCCACGATCCCTCGTAGATTACACGGGTTTCGCGCTCCCGGGGCCAAGACCCATCGTAAAACTACGTTGGATTCGCGCTCCCAGGGCCAATATCGCTTGTAAATTACTACGGATGCACGCTCCCAAGGCCACAACCCCTTGTAATATGCTCGTGGTTTGCGCTCCCAGAGCCAGAATCTGTTGTAATTTACATAGGACTCGCCCTCCCAGGGCGAAGATCCTTTGCAAATCATGCAGGATTCACGCTCCCAGGGCCACGATGCCTTGTAAATTACGCTTCGCCCGCGCTCCCAAGGCCACGATTTCTTGTAAATTGTACTGCGTCCGCATTCCCGGAGCCCCATGTGGCATCCCTGCCACCGCGGCTGCGGTCGGTCGCGCCAGACAAGCTGGCCGCTCTGCGCGAGAGCGTGCGCGCGCTAGCTCGGCCGCAGCGATGCGCCCGCCAGCGCCAAGCAGTCATGGCAATCGCCGCCGCATGGGTTTTGCAAACCAAATTGCGGGTGGGTGGATGGGATGATTGTGCGAGCAGTGAAGCTGACAAATTCAAGTTTGGCAATGCGAGTCGCACCACATGGATGACACCACGTAGATCTCACCACATATGTTGTTCCGCATATGTCTGCACAGCACAGATTGCTATGCTGTGTGGGGTCCACGCTGGCTTACATGTCATACCGTTCTTCGCCCGCTCAGCCTCGAGTGCAGAGGTGCTGCAGAGGGACTCGGCCTTGCTGAAATGGCCCGCCAGGAGTGCCACGAGCTCCGTCAGCTGCTCGTCGGCGACGACGAGCTCTGCGAACCGTGGCATGTAGCGCCACAGGTCTACAATGGAGGTGCCCTCCCCGCCCGGCCGGTCGAAGAAGTCCGCGAAGCCGGCCATGCTCAGACATATCTGCTGCAGCTGCTCCCCCACCGCGGAAACCTGGCCCAAGATCCCGGCAAACCTGAGCCGAGGCCAAGATCGGGACAGCATCGGGTCGGGATGAATCGGGGATCTCCGAGATCCGGCGGCTCTGGAAGATGTGGCTCCGGAAGCTGTTCCGGGCGCGGCGGCCACAACCGAGGGCTTCGGGACGCTGCCTTCGGGCTTCGGGAGCACTTTGGAACGATGTGTCCCAGTTTCTAGCCCCGCCAGAATCCAGACATGCGATGTCTTGATTTTTGCAATGCGGGGCCCCTGGAACTCCCGACCCTTGATTCCCCCAGGCCGGTTTCTCATTCCAGATTGTTTTTTGACCCGGCGAGGGCCCACGGAGGCCGAACACGGCTAAAAAAACATCCCGGCGTGATTTTGTACAACGCGAACATGTCTGGGAGAACCTCTCCAGCTGGCGGCCCGCGGCGCTGGTGCGCGGCGCCGGTACGCCTGCGGCGGCCCTTGCGAGCCGCCGCTGGCTGCGGGTGGCCCACAGCGGCCGGCCCCGCGTCGCCCTGGCAGCGGCAGTCTGGACGAGGCTCTCCTGCTCAGGGCCCCCCCCCAAGCCAGGACATGGCCCAACAGGACTTCTCGAAAGAGCCAGCCGGGGAGCATGCAGATGGAAGCGCGTCTGGGCCCACTGCTGCACTCGTTTCTCGGGCGGGCCAAGGTTTTTGGAAGGCCCTGGCCTGCCCGTCCTGCCGCGCCGCCGGGTCTGCGGGGTCGGCCCCGTGGCCGTTGGCCCCGTCGGGCGACCAGCCCGCGCCCTCGAGGGGGTCGGGCTGCTCGCTGAGGCGGTCTGGGTCTGCGAGCGCGGGGCCGAGGCGGTCGAAGAGGTGCATCGCCCGCTTCTCCACGGAGGCCCAGACCAGCTTCTGCAGGCTCTCGCTGCGGAAGATGTCGCCCAGGAGCTTGCGGGCCACGCCGAAGGCCACCTGCTTCAGCAGCTTCCGCTTGTCCGTGGTCAGCGGGATCTCGGCGGAGCCGAAGAGCTTCAGCATCGGCGGTGGCACGTGGATCCCGGTCGAATCCGCCAGTGGGTCCAACGAGAGCTCCACCGCCGTCTGCTCCTGTGGGGGTACAGAGAGAAGACGGTACAGCTGCTCTCCAGACGTCAACGGGGCGTGCTCCCACCAGGACTCGGAGACAAAGAAACCGGCTGTGGCGACGAGGGCACCCCCCGGATAATCAGAAAGGTGGGAACGAGACGAGGGGGCCGCCATCAGTATACTCTCCAAGAAGATCAAACATTTGCATGAACAGAATACATGATCGACCCACGAACCCGGAAAGGAATACAAAAACGTAAGGCATGCCAACGTTTTGGCGACGGGCAATTGCAAGGCTGAGTGTCTCGATCTTGACGTACCGTGCCAAGGGCACTGCTGTGCTGCGCCGTGCTGGATTTCTATGTGCCATGCCGCGATTGTGCTCTATGGCGTTGTGGATCGAGCCCCCCGTTGCGAGTCCTGAACCGAATTGGTCTGTTTCTTGAGCTCGAGCTGCCTAAGCACATAGTAGCTGCCCCAGAGGTAATTGATAGGGGGGCACGCCAGGTGGACGCGCCGCGGAACGTCCCAGGGGAAGCGCCAGGGGTCGTGCCAAGGGACGTGCCATGGAGACGCACGGCGGAACGTGCCAAAAGGACGCGCTATGGAACGTGCCAATGGACGTGCCACGGGACGCGCCAGGGGACGTGCCGCGCGACGTGCCAGGGGGACTCGCCATGGGACGCGCCACGGAGCGTGCCAAAATGAAATGCTGAGTGTATCGATCTTGACGTACCGTGCCAACGGCTGTGCTGTGCTGCGCCGTGCTGAATTGCTACGCGGCATGCCGCGATTGTGCTCTTTAGCGTTGTGGATCGAGTCCCCCTTTGCATCCGAGTCCTGAGCCGAACTGATCTGGGTCTTGAGCTCGAGCTGTCTGAGCACATAGTAGCTGCCCCAGAGCTAATTGACAGGGGGGCACGCCAGGAGGACGCGCAGCGGAACGTCCCAGGGGACGCGCCAGGGGTCATGCCAAGGGACTTGCCATGGGGACGCACCGCGGGACGTGCCAAAGGGACGCGCTACGGAACGTGCCAATGGACGTGCCACGGGCGCGCCAGGGGACGTGCCGCGCGACGTGCCAGGGAGACTCGCCATGGGACGCGCCACGGAACGTTCCAAAAACGGTCCAAATTGCAAGGCTGAGTGTATCGATCTTGACGTACCGTGCCAAGGGCTGTGCTGTGCTGCGCTGTGCTGGATTTCTATGTGCCATGCCGCGATTATGCTCTATAGCGTTGTGGATCGAGTCCCTCGCTGCGAGTCCTGAACCGAACTGATCTGGATCTCAAGCTCGAGCTGCTTGAGCAAATAGTAGCTGCCCCAGAGCTGATTGACAAAAGGACACGCCAGGAGGACGCGCCGCGGAACGTCCCAGGGGACGCGCCAGGGGCCGTGCCAAGGGACGTGCCATGGGGACGCACCGCGGGACGTGCCAAAAGGACGCGCTATGGAACGTGCCAATGGACGTGACACGGGACGCCCCAGGGGACGTGCCGCGCGACGTGCCAAAGGGACTCACTATGGAACGCGCCACGGAACGTGCCAAGGAACGTGTCAGAGGTTGAGTGTATCGATCTTGACGTACCGTGCCAAGGGCTGTGCTGTGCTGCGCCGTGCTGAATTGCTACGCGGCATGCCGCGATTGTGCTCTTTAGCGTTGTGGATCGAGTCCCCCTTTGCATTCGAGTCCTGAGCCGAACTGATCTGGGTCTTGAGCTCGAGCTGCCTGAGCACGTAGTAGCCGCCCCAGAGCTAATTGACAGGGGGGCACGCCAGGAGAACGCGCCGCGGAACGTCCCAGGGGACGAGCCAGGGGTCGTGCCAAGGGACTTGCCGTGGAGACGCACCGCGGGACGTGCCAAGGGGACGAGCTACGGAACGGGCCAACCCTCGTGAATTACACTGTGTCCGCCCCCTCAGGGCCAGGGTCCCTCGTAAATTACGCTGCGTCCGCGCTCCCAGGGCCAGGGTACGTAGTAAATTACGCTGCGTCCGCGCTCCCAGGGCCACGATCCATCGTAAATTACGCTGCGTCCGCGCTCCCAGGGCCACGATCCCTTGTAAACTACCCTGCGTCCGCGCTCCCAGGGCCGCGATGGATCCATGGTAAACTAAGCTCCGTCCACGCTCCCAGAGCCACGATCCCTGGTAGATTACGCTGCGCCCGCACTCCCAGGGCCTGGAAGTCTCCGAAACGCTTCGCTCGAGACATCCTCACCAAATTCTGCAAAACGAGCGTTTCGCTCGAGACATCCACAACAAGCGAAACTGTTTGCTTTGCCATGTGCTTTATCGATCGGAATTTCAAAAGCCAGCGTTTCGCTCGGGATCCTCAAATTCTAATTCGCCGGCCCTCTTCGACCTCGTTATTTATCACAGAATCCGCCGATCCGGCGTGTGAGTTTCTGAGAGCGTGGGCTTGAGCTCGCTCAAGCTTCGCTCTGGGGGGGGGTCGGGGCCCGGCGAATTATCCACGCAATTCAGTGAACGCTCCAGCGCGGGGAGGGGGGGGTCCAAGAATCGAGGGGGGGGGGGGGGAGCTCGAGCGAGGAGGGGTCGAGCTCAAGCGGGGGGGGGTCCAAGAAGGAAGCTCGAGCGGGGACGGAGGGGGGGGGTCAAGCTCAAGCGAGGAGGGGGGGTCAGCGCGGGGGGGAGGGGTCAAGAATCGAGGGGGGGGGGGGGCCGAGCTCGAGCGAGGACGGGGGGGGGGGTTCGAACGGAGGGAGGGGGGGTCCACAGAGGAAGTTCGAGCGGGGACGGAGGGGGGGGTCGAGCTCACGCGGGGGGGGGGAGGGGGTCAGCGCGGGGGGTGGTCCAAGAATCGAGGGGGGGGAGAGCTCGAGCGAGGACGGGGCGGGGGGTCGAACGGAGGGGGGGGTCGAGCTCAAGCGGGGGGTGGGGGGGTTCAGCGCGGAGGGGAGGGGGGTCCAAGAATCGAGGGGGGGGAGCTCGAGCGAGGACGGAGGGGGGGGTCGAGCTCAAGCGGGGGGGGGTCCAAGGAGGAAGCTCGAGCGGGGACGGAGGGGGGGATCGAGCTCAAGCGGGGGGGGGGGGTCCAAGAAACCAGGGAGGGCAGCGGGGGGAGGAGGGACGTCGTCGTCATCATCGTCCGTCGTTGACCCGGTCGTCGGTCGTCGTCGTCGTCATCGTCCGTTCCCACACGCATCGGGAGCGCCCCGGATCGGCAGCACTGGCCGGAGCCCATTACAATGACTTCACCGGCCCTCTTCGAGTCGATTCTGGGGGGGGGATCAACCTACCAAAACGAAGCCCTGGGCCCCCGCCCTTTCCGGGAAACTATTGGAGGTCCATGCGGATTTCTGGGATCGGCGCTGGACCCTCCCTGGCGCGCGGAGCGCTCGAGGGGCGGCGCCAGAGGCGCCGCCAGGAGGGCCCCAACGCCGATCCAAGAACTCCGCGCGGACCTCCGAGAGTCATGATTATGCCGTGCGTTTTTCCTCGAGCCATCGGCATGCTTGTCTCCCCCGATCCTTGCCGAAGGCGGCCACGTCCAGGACGGCGCGCAAGTCGCCATTGACGCTGGGCATCACCTTCGCCGTGTGCGCCGTGAAGGAGACCGAGGTGCCGAGCGCCGCCTGGACGAAGGAGGGGTCCCCCAGCTCGTAGCGGCCGCCCCAACGGAAGAGCTGGAGCCTGGGTAAGGCTCGAAACCAAACATGATCGCACCGTGGAAAATCACAACGCCAATGTTTGGCCAGCTTCGGCCTCCAAGGGTATTCGCCAGGCCCTGGGACCGTCGCAAAACAACCTGGAATGAAACATGATCGACTCACGAACCCGGAAAGGAATGTAGAAATGTCAGGCATGGCAACGCTTCAAAGACACCTGATTGGGCGACGGGCAAATGCAATGCTGAGTGTATCGATCTTGACGTACCGTGCCAAGGGCTGTGCTGTTGTGCGCCGTGCTGGATTTCTATGTGCCATGCCGCGATTGTGCCCTTTAGCGTTGTGGATCGAGCCCCCCGTTGCGAGTCCTGAACCGAACTGATCTGGATCTTGAGCTCGAGCTGCTTGAGCAAATAATAGCTGCCCCAGAGCTAATTGACAGGGGGGCACGCCAGGAGGACGCGCCGCGGAACGTCCCAGGGGTCGCGCCAGGGGTCGTGCCAAGGGACGTGCCATGGGGACGCACCGCGGGACGTACTGCGGAACGTGCCAATGGACGTGCCACGGGATGCGCCAGGGGATGTGCCGCGCGACGCGCCAGGGGGACTCGCCATGGGACGCGCCACGGAGCGTGCCAAAATGAAATGCTGAATGTATCGATCTGGACGTACCCACGAGGGATGCGCCAGGGGGACTCGCCACGAGACGCGCCACGGAACGTGCCAAGTTGCAATGCTGAATGCATCAATCTCAATGTACCGTGCCGAGGGCTGTGCTGTGCCTGGGCGACCTGGACAAGCGAAAAACAAGTATTTCGCTCAACACATTCTCGACACATCCTCATGCTAGACATCCGCATAGGCAACCTGGACACGTGCAAACAAGCGTCTCGCTCGAGACATCCTCAACAAATCCTCATGCTAGACATCTGCCTGGGCAACCTGGACGCGTGAAACCATCTGTCTCGCTCGAGACATCCTCAAGACCTGGGCACGTGAAAACAGCATTTCACTTGAGAGATCCTCTGAATTCTGGCCCCCAGAAGAGGACAATCTAGAACACAAGACAAGCGTTTCGCTCGAGAAAACTTCAGACAGTTCTGCAAAACAAGCGTTTTGCTCGGGAGATTCTAAAATCTTAATTCGCAGGCCCTCATCGACCTCGTCAATTATTTTTTGTTTATAAAAAAATCACCGGCCGTCTTTGAACTTGGCACCGGGGACAAATTGACCTACTAAAAGAGAACCCTGGGCCTAAGCCCTTTCCGGGGAAATCGGAGCTGAGCAAAGGGCCAGGATTTTCTGTGACCCCGTATTGAGAAAACAACATATCGGATGTTTGGATAGTGTACACCAAGACGTCCGGTTGGCCAAGGAGCTCGGTGTACAAACGTCCCAGCTTCCCACCCTGTGGGGCGCTAGAGCGTCTGTACACCGAACTCCTTCACCGAACTTCTACGGTCAAATCCTGCTCTCAACATGTCGCTCCGCTCCGCGGGCTGGGAAGTTAGGAAAATGATCGACCCACGAACCCGGAAAGGATTATAGAAATGCAAGGCATGGCAATGTTTCAAAGACACCTGATTGGGCGACGGGCACATGCAATGCTGAGTGCACCGATCCTGATGTACCGTGCCAAAGGCCGTGCTGTGCTGCGCCGTGCTGGATAACGATGTGCCATGCCGCGATTGTGCCCTGTAGCGTTGTGGATCGAGTCCTCCTTTGCGAGTCCAGACCGAACTGGTCTTGATCTCAAGCTCGAGCTGCCTGAGCACATAGTAGCTGCCCCAGAGCTAATCGACAGGGGGACATGCCAGGAGGACGCGCCGCGGAACGTCCTAAGGGACGCGCAAGGCGACGTGCCAGGGGACGTGCCATGGGGACGCAACGCGGGACGTGCAAAAGGGACGCGCTACGGAACGTGCCAATGGGCGTGCCACGGAACGTGCCAGGGGACGCGCCGCGCGACGTGCCAGGGGGACTCGCCACGGGACGCGCCACGGAACGTGCCAGGGAACGTGCCAAGTTGCAAGGCTGAGTGGATCGATCTAGATGTACCGTGCCGAAAGCTGAACCAAGCGTCTCGCTCGAGACTTTCTCAACACCTCCTCATGCTGGACATCTGCCTGAGCGACGTGAACACGTGAAAATAAGTGGTTCGCTCGAGACAACCTCAACAAATCCGCCGACCCCTTGTGGGTCTCTAGGCGTGTGAGATAATTCCCCCCCATAGCCCCCCCCAGGGACCCCAAACCGGAGATTTGACCCCCCCCCCCGGCCCGGCGCGAGCCCCCCCCGGCCCGGCGCGAGCGCATCACAAGGCTTTTCCAGACCCAGGAGGGCCCCAAGAAGGCCCCAAGAGGCCTCCAAGACGGCCACGAGGGCCCCGAGACGCCAAACGAGCGCTCCAAGACGCCCAAGATGGCCCAAAGACGGGCGAAGAGGCCTCCTAGACGGCCCAAGAGGTCCCCACGAGGCCCCAAGAGGCCTCCAAGATGCGTCCCAAAGAGGGTCCCGAGACGCAAAAAAAGGGCCCATTCCCTTCGTACAACGTACAATTTTCACAAGTTCGCCTTCTGGGCTTTCCGATGCTCCCAGACGGCCCAAGAGGCCCCCAATACCGCCCCAAGACGGCAAAAGAAGCCTGGAAGAGGGTCCCAAGATAGCCCAAGAGGGCCCCAAGACGGCTCAAGAGGCGTCCAAGACGGCCCAAGAGGGCCCCGAAGACGGCCCCAAGAGCGTTCCAGGAGCGCTCCAAGTGGCCTGCAAGAGAGCTCAATATGGTCCCACACGGTCCAAGAGCGATCAAAGACACCGCAGATGGCCCCCAGACGGCCCAAGATGCCCCCAACAGGCCCCAAGAGGCATCCAAGATGCGTCCCAAGAGGGCCTCTAGACGCCAAAAACTGACCCGTTCCCTTCGTGACACGTACAGTTTTCACCAATTCGCCTTTTGGGTTTTCCGATACTCCCAGACGGCACAAGAGGCCCCCAAGTCCGCCCCAAGACGGTCCAAGAAGCCTCCAAGAGGGCCCCAAGACAGCCCAAGAGGCCCGAAGACGGCTCAAGAGGCGCCGAAGACGGCCCAAGAGAGCCCCGAAGACGGCCCCAAGAGCGCCCCAGGAGCGCTCCAAATGCTTCCAAGAGAGCTCAACATGGTCCCAGACGGTCCAAGAGCGATCAAACACACCCGAGATGGTCTCCAGATGGCCCAAGACGCCCCCGAGAGGCCTCCAAGGTACGTCCCAAGGGGGTGCCTAGACGCAAAAATGTGCTCATGTCTTTCGTAAAACGTAGATTGTTTCACAAATTCGCCTTGTGGGCTAACCGACGCTCCAAGACGGCCCAAGAGGCCACCGAAGACCGCCCCAAGACGGCCCAAGAGGCCCCCAAGACGGCCCCACGACGGCCCAAAATGGCCCCAAGACGGCCCAAGAGGTTCCCAAGACGACCCAAGAAGGCTCCACGACGGCACCAAGAGGGGCCCGCCCCCACGAGCCCCAGGGGGCCCCAAGAGTGCCCCAAGAGGCCGCCAGAGGCCCCCAAGAGGCCGCCAAGACGCCTCACGGAGCCCCCAAGAGGCTCCCAGGAGGCCCCCCAAAGACCCCCAGACGCTTCCGTATTGCGAAGCCAACTGCAATGCATTCCGCGCATACAGCCTTACTCTGCCTCGTGAAGTGCTCACTATCTTGCTCGGCGCTAATGTGCTGCTGCCGCGCGAACTGTTTAGTGCGCGCTGCAAACGTCGACACCCTCTTCACCCGTTTCGACTCATCTGCCACATCTTTCGCGGTGATGCCTCGCTGATCGCAGTTTCCGCGCACCACTCTTGCTCCTTTCGTCTTCCGGTGGTCCTCCACTTGGTTGCGGGTCGAAAGGCCGACCTCCCAGAAGGACACCCCGCACCCGGGTCCACAGCACGCAAGGCGCTCGCAAAACACACCGGCATCACGCAAACATTTGGACCCCCTACGTATCTGCCACCACCCGCGCGCGACACCGCACCCTCACACAAGACGCCGCTGGCCACAAACTCCTGGCCTCGCAACGCTCACAGAAGGGGTCGGCGGATGTGGCGTAAGCCTGTAGAATCTTCATGTTGGACGTCCGCCTGGGTGACCTTGGCACGTGAAAGCAAGCGTTTCGCTGGAGAAGTTCTCGACACCTCCCCATGCAAGACATCCGCCTGGGCGACCTGGACACGTGAAAGCAAACGTCTCGCTCGAGACATCCTCAGCACATCTTCATGCTAGACATCCCCCTGGGCGAACTGGACACGTGAATCCAAGCGTCTCGCTCGAGACATCCTCAACACATCTTCATGTTAGACGTCCGCCTGGGCAGCCTGGACACGTGAAAACAAGCGTTTCGCTCAAGACATTCTCGACACATCCTCATGCTAGACATCCGCCTGGGCAACCTGGACACGTGCACACAAGCGTCTCGATGGAGACTTCCTCACCACATCCTCATACTAGACATCCGCTTGGGCGACGTGCACGCGTGAAAACAAGCGTTTCGCTCGAGACATCCTCAACGCATCCTCATGCTAGACATCCGCCTGGGCGACGTGCACGCGGGAAAACAAACGTCTCGCTCGAGACATCCTCAAGACCTGGGCTCGTGAAAACAAGCATTTCACTTGAGAGATCCTCTGAATTCCGGTCCCCAGGAGAGGACAATCTATGACACAAAACAAGCGTTTCGCTCGAGACATCCTCAACAATGTCTGTAAAACAAGCGTTTCGCTCGGGACATCCTCGAATTCTAATTCGCCGGCCCTACTCGACCTCGTTATTTATCGCCGAATAATTTCGCCGGCCCTAGAGCCGTCGATTCCGGGGGTAAACAACTAAAAGAGAACCCTGGGCCCCCACCCTTTCCGTGAAAAAACCCAGACGTTGACGCTCGGGGACCAGGGCGTGGACAGCGTGTCGCGACGAAGCGCGGTAAGCCAGAACCGGTGGTGCAACACGATGACCAAAAGTCCCCAACCGTGGACACCGAACTCCTGTGTCGAAATCCTGGGCCCCCCCTGGCCGACCAAGCGACGCGGTGTGTACAACGAGTCCCTCCGAGAGCCGGTCCAGGAGCCGCCGCATGCCGCCCCCCGAGAAGTGGCGGCGGCAGATCTTGACAGCCGCGCCAATAGCCCGCATGGTGTTCTCGACCTCGGGCGCGCGCAGAGGTTGGAGCTGGAATCTCGGGACCCGCCTCCGCCCAAGAGCTTTCAGGAACACAAGTTTCTGTGCGGGGGTGATAGCGTTGGGCCCGCCTCCACACAAGAGTCTTTCCCGAGAAGCCTCTGAGCAGAAGCGGGTGGCAAAGCGGCAGCCCCGAAAAGGGAGGACTGGAAATGGGAGCGGCCGTCTACAGGAGCCTCCTGCCGAGGCTTCCGAGGAGGCTTCTCAGAAGTCGGGCACACGCCAACATGGGTTACGGATCTGTGGGTCCGGCGCGTGGGCGCGAGGATCGGAAAAAGTACCCCCCCGAAACGCGAAACCGCTGCAGCCAGATTTGGCGACTGAGCGCGTCGATGTTCAATGCAAGCGGGACGCGGGACCCGTCGCTAATCCGCGTGCCTTAATTCAGCTGCTTCCAAATCGGACCCCAGAGAAAGGGAATTTTGAGACGGGCAATGTCGATATCTCAAGTCCGTCGGCTTCGCGCGCCATGGAGGCAACGCGGAGGGAGAAGAAGAGCAAGATTCGGCAGAGGGGGACGAGGATGAGGCGGATGGGGAGGAGAGGACGAGGAGATGGAGGATGAGGAGTGGGAGGAGGTGGAGGTCTTGAATGCAATGCCGCGGTCTCAGGAGTCCCTTGCGCTGACGTCCCTGGAGGAAGCGCATCATTAATCCATGCTTTCGTTTCCTCCATCTGAAGCGGCTTCTCAGAGGGCAGGCGGGCTTCTGAGCATCGTTTAGCCAACCCCTATCCCCATGGGCCGTGGCCGGGTCCCCACTGGCCACTTTACCTCCCAGATACGGATAGAGGCCGCTTCCCTCGGGCTTCGCGGGGTATATCCCCAACTGGAGTGTGTTGAGATGGCGGGGGTCTGGATGGGGATGGCGGGATGGCGATGGGAAGAGAGGTCGGTTAAACAATACTGAACTTCTGAGAAACCCCCTGCCCTCACAGGAGGCCAGCTTCCCTCTCCCCTCCCCCCCAGCCGCGCGCCGCCGATCGCCTTATGCTCGAAATCGCCCTTGAAGAAGACGACGGCACTCTCGAGCTCAGCCGGGTCTCCCAGCCAACTGGAGACTGCGTGGACCATGCGGTCGCGCCGGGTCTCCTCTGGAGGGAAAGATACCAGAGGCGATGACCAAGGCTGAACGCGAATTCGTCGATGCCGATCTCGGTCACCGTCCATCTTGGCCACCGTCGATTCGTGGACCATCCTCGAGAATCGGCGACGGCCGGCATGGACCATGGCCAAGATCGGCGTCGACAAGACCCAGCGATGTCTTGGTCGTGGTCAGCTTGCCTCTTCCCTTGATCCTCGTCGACGGGGCTGTGGCTGTCGCCGCCGAGCATCCGCTGCAGCGGCGACGACAGGCACCACTGCAGCAGGTCGCGCAACGCCTCGGCTGCGCTCCACACGGCCTCGGCGACGGGCTTCAGCCGTGCCGCGAGCTTCCCCTTGAGGCTGAGGGCCTCCTGGCTGGCGGAGGTGTTCGTGTTCATGCTGAGGTCCGCCACAGCGCCCCGAGGCACGCCGCGGAGCGTCCTCAAGTCTGCGCAGTGGGCGCCCAGGAGGGCCCCGAGAGGCCTCCAAGAAGCCCCCCAGGAGACCCCAGGAGGCCTCTCAGAGGCAACATAGGGCAACATGTCCACGACCCAAGCACGGTGGCTGGAGGGGCCGAACGGCCTCTAGACCTGACCCGGCACAGGAACGGAAAGAGCGCTTCAGCAACAGACACCGAAATTACTCACACCGCCGTTCGTACTGGGAGCCTTGGCGTTGAGAGCTTGTTACGTCACCCCTCGCTCGTGGGAGCCTTGGTGTTCAGAGATTGTTGCGTTGCCGCCCGTTCCTGAGCCTTGGCTGGGCCTTGGTGTCAGGAACTTGTTACGTCACCGCTCTCTGCTGGGAGCCTTGGTCTGATCAGCTTGTTTACGTCACCGTTCGCTCTTGGGAGCCTTGGTGTGAAGAGCTTTTTGCGTTACCGATCGCTCTGTATTTGGCGTCTCTGGGCTTCTTGGGAGTCCTATTGGGGCCCTTGTCGGGCCCTTTTGGAGGCCTCTTGGGAACCTCTTGGGGGCCTCTTGGGGCTTCTTGGGGGGCTCTGGGGGCCTCCTGGGAGCTTCTTGGGGCGAAAGGCTAGACTTTTCGATTCGTGGTCCCCCTCTTGAGGCCGCCTTGGGGCCCTCTTGGGCCGTCTTGGGCGCCCCTTGGGCCGTCTTGGCGCCCTCTTGGGCCGTCTTGAGCGCCTCTTGGGTTGTCTTGGGGCCCTCTTGGGCCGTTTTGGGGGCCTCTTGGGAGCCTCTTGGGCCGTCTTGGGACGGTCTTGGGAGCCTCTGGGGCCGTCGTCAACGCCGTGAAAGCCGACAAAGCGCAGATGCTAAAAATATACGTTTGCCCTTGGAAAATCTATGATTTCGGCCTCTTGGGGCCCTCTTGGGACGCCCCTTGGGCGCCTCTTGGGGGCCTCTCTCTTGGAGCGCTCTTGGGCCGTCGTCGGGGGGAACCCGAAAACCATGCAAAAACCCAATGGAAAACCCGAACACAGCAATTAACACGCAAATGGGCCCGCTACCCCCCTCCCCTGGAACCCTTCGATTTAGGGCTTCGCCCACACCAGAACGTCATCACTCGTACCTCGCTCTTTTACCTGGCCCAGCACAGAAACGGAAAGAGCGCTTCAGCAACAGAAACCGAAATTACTCACACCACCGTTCGTACTGGGAGCCTTTGCGTTGAGAGCTTGCTACGTCACCCCTCGCTCGTGGGAGCCTTGGTGTTCAGAGATTGTTGCGTTGCCGCCCGTTCCTGAGCCTTGGCTGGGCCTTGGTGTCAGGAACTTGTTACGTCACCGCTCTCTGCTGGGAGCCTTGGTCTGATCAGCTTGTTTACGTCGCCGTTCGCTCTTGGGAGCCTTGGCGTGAAGAGCTTTTTGCGTTACCGATCGCTCTGTATTTGGCGTCTCTGGGGCTTATTGGGAGTCCTATTGGGACCCTTTTCGGGCCCTTTTGGAAGCCTCTTGGGAACCTCTTGGGGCTTCTTGGGGGGCTCTGGGGACCTCGTGGGAGCTTCTTGGGCCGAAAGGCTAGACTTTTCGGTTCGTGGTCCCCCTCTTGGGGCCGTCTTGGGGCCCTCTTGGGCCGTCTTGGGCGCCTCTTGGGCCGTTTTGGCGCCCTCTTGGGTCGACTTGGGGCGGTCTTTGGGGCCTCTTGGACCGTCTTCAACGCAGTGAAAGCAGAAAAGCATCATATGATACAAATTTACCCTTTCCAATTGGAAATCAATGATGTTGGTCTCCTGGTGGCCTCTTGGGACGCCTCTTGGGGGTCTCTTGGGGCTTCTTGGGGGCTCTTGGGGCCTCCTGGGAGCGTCTTGGGGCGAAAGGCTAAACTGTTCGGTTCATGGTCCCCCTCTTGGGGCCGTCTTGGGACCCTTTTGGGCCGTCTTGGGCGCCTCTTGGACCGTCTTGGGGCCCTCTTGGGCCGTTGTGGGGTCCTCTTGGGAGCATATTGGGCCGTCTTGGGGCGATCTTGGGGGCCTCTTGGGCCGTTGTCAACGCCGTGAAAGCCGAGAAGCCGTATATGCTAAAAATGTACGTTGCCCCATGGAAAATCAATGATTTGGGCTTTTTGGGGCCCTCTTCGGACGCCCCTTGGGCGCCTCTGGGGGGCCTCTTGGGCCGTCTTGGGCGGTCTTGGGCTCTTTTGGAGCGCTCTTGGGCAGTCTTGGGGGGGGAACCCGAAAAACATGCAAAAACCATAGAGAAACGGCCAACAACTGCAATTAAACCAATTCGTTCCCCCTACGCTCCCCCCTGGACCCCCCCCATAAGGGGCTTCGCCCAAAGCACAACGTCATCACTCATACCTCGCTCTTTTACCTGGCCCGGCACAGAAACGGAAAGAGCGCTTCAACAGAAGCCGAAATTACTCACACCACCGTTCGTACTGGGAGCCTTTGCGTTGAGAGCTTGTTACGTCACCCCTCGCTCGTGGGAGCCTTGGTGTTCAGAGATTGTTGCGTTGCCGCCCGTTCCTGAGCCTTGGCTGGGCCTTGGTGTCAGGACCTTGTTACGTCACCGCTCTCTGCTGGGAACCTTGGTCTTATCAGCTTGTTTACGTCGCCGTTCGCTCTTGGGAGCCTTGGCGTGAAGAGCTTTTTGCGTTACCGATCGCTCGTTATTTGGCGTCTCTGGGCCTTCTTGGGGAGTCCTATTGCGGCCCTTGTCGGACCTTTTTGGAGGCCTCCTGGGGCGTCTTTGGGGGCGCTGGGGGCCTCCTGGGAGCGTCTTGGTGCGATATGCTAAACTATTCGGTTCGTGGTTCCCCTCTCGGGGCCGTCTTGGGCGCCTCTTGGGCCGTCTTGGGCGCCTCTTGGGCCGTCTTGGCGCCCTCTTGGGTCGTTTTTGGGGCCTCTTGGGAGCGTCTTGGGCCGTCTTGGGGCGGTCTTGGGGGTCTCTTCGTCAGTCCTCAACGCCGTGAAAGCCGAAAAGCATTATATGCTAAAAATGTACCTTTTTCCCGAATAGAAAATCAATGACTTTGGTCTCCTGGTGGCTCTTGGGGGCCTCGTGGGGCTTCTTGGGGGACCCTTGGGGCCTCCTGGGAGCGTCTTGGTGCGATATGCTAGACTTTTCGGTTCATGGTCCCCCCTCTTGGGGCCGTCTTGGGGCCCTCTTGGGCCGTCTTGGGCGCCTCTTGGACCGTCTTGGGGCCCTCTTGGGCCGTTTTGGGGGCCTCTTGGGAGCCTCGTGTGCCGTCTTGGGGCGGTGTTGGGGGCCTCTTGGGCCGTCGTCAACGCCGTGAAAGCCGAAAAGCCGTATATGCTAAAAATGTACGTTGCCCCCTGGTAAATCAAGGATATTGGCCTCTTGGGGCCCTCTTAGGACGCCCCTTGGGCGCATCTTGGGGGCCTCTTGGGCCGTCTTGGGCGGTCATGGGCTCTCTTGGAGCGCCCTTGGGCCGTCGTGGGGGGGAACCCGAAAAACATGCAAAAAATCACAGGGGAAACCAGATAACGGCACTTAAACCCATCCACTCCCCGTACGCCCCCCCTGGACCCCCCCCTTAAACTCCTTCGCCCCCCGCTAGGCGGCTCGGCGCCGCGCTCGCTCTCCGTCTGCTTCGGGCCCGGCCCCTTCGGCTCCAGCTCTCAACCCCTTGCAATAGCCCCGCATTTGAGTGCACGTGGCCAGCCTGTGCTGGAAGGTGTCTCACACTGTGTGACTGCGTCCGCGGCCCGGCGAAACGCCCACGTCACCCTCGGCGGGAGCGCCCTGTGTTGAGAGTTTTTTTCGTCCCCTTGGTCAGCTTCAGACGTCGGCGTGCGACTCGAGTGTGCCTCCTCCTCCTCCTCCCCTCTTCTTCCTCCTCCTCCTCCTCCTCCTCCTCCTCCTCCTCCTCCTCCTCCTCCTCCTCCTCCTGCTCCTCACCTGGACCACTCCTCCAGGATCAGCCTCCTTCCCTCCCTCCCTCGCACTCCTCACCATTCTCCTCCGCCTCCTCCTCCTCCCCGTTCTCCTCCTCCTCCTCCTCCTCCTTCTCCCCCTCTGCCTCGTTCCCCATCCATCCTCCTTTTCCCCCCCCTTCCGCCTCAGCCTCTTGGGAGTGGACCTCTTGGAGGCCTTTTGGGGGGGGGGCTGGCCAAGAGGGCCCCGAGACGGCCCGAGAAGGCCCCAATACGACACCAAGAGAGGCCCAAGAGAGCACCACGAGCCTCCCAAGAGAGCCCCTAGAGGCCGCCAAGAGAGCCCCTAAAGGCCGCCAAGAGAGGGCCCTCTTGGGCCGTCTTACCGGTATCGGGATAAATCGGTCCCTCCCCGCCTTCGCCGTTGGGAGCCTTGGCGTGGAGAGCTTTCTGCGTTACCGATCACTCTGTATTTGGCGTTCCTGGGTCTTCTGGGCCGTCCACTTGGGGCCTATTAGGGGCTCTTTTGGATTGTCATGGGGCCCTCTTCAGCCGTCTTGGGACCTTTTGGGACGTCTTGGAGCCTCTTCGAGGCCTGTGGCCGTCTTGGAGCTCTCTTGGCGGCCTCTTGGAGCCCTCTTAGGAGCCTCCTGGGGCTCTCTGAGGGCTCTCTTGGGGCCGTCTGTGGACCCTGTCGGACCGTTTGGGGACCCTCCTGGCCAATCTCGGGGCCCTCTTTGGCAACTTTCGGACCCTTCCGGGGATCTCTTCGGCCGTCTTGGGACGATCTTTGGAGCCTCTGAGGCTGCTGTCGGCCGTGCTTGGCCAGAAAAAACGAAAACCCCAAAAACTTGCCAAAACCAAAAAAAAAAACAATAGAATTTCGTCCCCTCGGGCTCTCTTGGAAAGCCTCTTTGAGGCTACTTGGAGCGTCTTTAGGGCCTCTTTGACCGCCTTTGAGCAATCTTAGGGCGTCTCGGGGGTTTCTTAGACCGTCGTGGAGCGAACTGAGGCCGTCTTGGAGCGCTCTGAGGCCGTCTTGGGGCCCTCTTGGGCCGTCTTACGGGTATCGGGGACCGTCTTGGGCCCCCGCAAATGCTATTA